GAATGCTCCTCATATTGACAAATGATGATCTTACTCTTATAGCTAAAAATTTTAAATTGAACGATGTTGTCATTTCAAAGACTCCATTGATTACAGAACTTTAGTTTTCGGAAGTGTATTCAAGAAAAGTTTCTGAAATAGTAGGAACATTTCCATTATCATTCTGAAATAGAAGCATCATTTCTGTTCTTATATATAAACAGGATTAATAAAATACCTATCAAATCCATCCATTGTCACTCAATTTGTGATGTATGAATGACAGTTTTACTTTCATTCCTATGATTCTAATTTTTACCGGTTGAAGCTGTAGAATTAAATTAAATTAAAAAATTAATTAAAATTAAATTTTACTAAATCAAATTTTATTATTTAATGCACTAGATGGTACAAGCTGTAGAATTAAATTCTATTAGAAAAACATTGAATTAAAAATCTGATTATATTTTTTATATTAAAAATTAATTTTTATTAAATTAATTTAATGCACTATATGGTACGTGCTCTATGTTTTATATATTGAAATAGTTTCCCATGTTAAACAACGAAAATTTTCTAAAAGACACAAAATGTTTGAAAACGCGGGATGGCAGATGAAATCATTTAGAATCTGAGGTGAAGTTAATTATATAGACAATATCGACAAAATAGGCAAAAAACATGAAAAATGTATGTCTGGACATGTATCAATTGGTATTTAAAATTTGAAACAAATTTCCATCATTTAAATGTCAGTGTGGAATGAGGATCAAGTCTAATTATTGTGAAATCGAACTTGACATGACCAAAAGCTATGCCTGTGACACCGCCATGTCAGATATGATCGTGGAAACATGATGTGAATGTACGCCTTGGAAAAGTCGAAGTTTATCTCATACTTCTGTGTGATATTGAGAACTTTCTTGGTATTGTCCAATCGTGAGAATTTTTTACGATTCTGGATGCATTTTTTTTTTATTTTAGAACGTATTCATTGCAAAAATTTGTCCACTACCCTACAGATAAACGACTAGTTAACTTGATTAGGCATTGGCAACACGGGATTGGATTTCAAACTACGTGCGATTTCAGAAGAGCGGGTTTCTAATGAGCTCAGTTTATAAATTTTCACTGCAGTGGAAGGTGAGGTGGTGTAATGCAGTGGCAGTGGTAGGGTTGGTTTTTTGATAAGTTTTCTTATATTAACATGAGAATATATTAACTATACAGAATTCCACACTGCAGCCAGGTCAGGTAGGCTATGTCGCTATGCGGCTATGATTGATATGATTATGAAGACTGATCACGATCAGCGATAAACATAGCTAAAACATGGTGGAAAACTAATTTTTTGCAAACTCACTTTCAGTTTCAGACTTTCAGTCATAGGGTAAATGCACCATATTCTGACATCATGGGTAATTCCTATACTTTTCAACTTTTTCCTTCATATTAAGCTTTGTCTTAGTTCCACGCAGGCTGGAATTCTAAAATTTGTGGTTCACATAAAAAAAGCGTTCTGCCTTAAAAAAAACATTCCAGGCAACTAGAAACAGGTTTGCAGGCCGTCAGAAATTGGCTTCAGTTATGGTAGCTATGATCGTATGAACGTCAAGTCAGGCAAGTTTCCACGCATGCGTAGATGGTTGAAATAGTGACGTCATACTATTGCGTGCCAGATTTATGCAAAACACTAGGTTTGGCAGAAAATGTTAAGATCCTCAGAGCAAAAGTCCATGTCACCCAGTGTCACAAGGTGGGATTCTAATAATGCGCCACGCGCAGCCGTCGTGACGCTCACGAGGTCAAGCCGCGAGGGAGTCAAGGCTTCTATGTAGCAAGCGGGGGAGGGGGGGTTGCACACGATGCGCTTTAAAGTCCTATTGACAAGTGTTTTCACGACCGACTTTTTATAGTTTAGAGGTGAACAGGATTGGAAACTGGAGTAGATACCCTTGTCCGTAGGTTTGATGTAGACTGCTGTGGATAGGTTTCCATTGTCTTGAATACTGAAGTTGATATCCAAGAAATGAAATTGGTTGTTGGACGGTGCTTCGTGGGTAAATTTGAGAACAGAGTTGCGGTGTCTTTTTTATCCAGAATCATTATTCGACGCCTAAGTGTAATTGAAAAGGAAGTTTTTAGAAAACTTGAAAAACTGGGAGCTATATTGCTTTTTAGCCCAACCCTTTGGCTATCATCCTCATTTATTTGATGTCTGTGCTGTGTTTTCTCATTATGTAACTTATTATGTACTTTTCTTTTTTTCTCTTTCTCTAGTCCAGACAAGGAAGTAAAATCATTAACGTAAAGTAAATTCCAAAGCCAAGCATAATTCTAATGTAAAATTCTAATGAATAACTAATAACTGCACCAGTATGGGAACCTAAACTAACTCACCACTTAAGAGGAAGTGAGTGATAGTTTATTGCATATATTCATTTTATTGCTCAATTGATGTTATATTATAAATGGTTTATATTTTTTTTATTTTGCTTTGTTTTCTGATTTTCTATTAATTGTGTTCAGTGTGTTTTAATTCTGCAAGCTATATATTTTGATGTTCATTAATTCTTCATTAAGCTGTTTGCTGCAATATAAGTTTGCTTGATTACTTTTTCTGCATCCATAAGCAACACAGTTGCTCTAAGAAGTCATTATTAAGGTTCTTGATTATTACTTTTTTCTGCTTGTTAATTAATGCTTGTTCATATTTAATCTAATTCTTTATCTTATAGTCTTAGGGCTATGATGCATAAAATTAATAAGTTTTACTTTCTTTTTATGGCAGATCACATATGCATCTTGTCCATGCTCCTGTTCTAGTTAGTTCCATGCTCCTGTTCTAGTTAGTTCCATGCTCCTGTTCTAGTTAGTTCCATGCTCCTGTTCTAGTTAGTTCCATGCTCCTGTTCTAGTTAGTTCTATGCTCCTGCGCATGTTAGTTCCATGCTCCTTAGTTCCTTAACTCCTATGCTCGTTAGTCCTATGCTCCAAAACTCTTTAGGTATATACCGACATTCTTCATTCACTTATGCACCACACTTGTGTGCATTTCATAACCAAGAGCCATTTACTTGAACTGTTATTCAAATTCTGTTCTAGTTGTCAGTAATAAAGATCAATTTTAGTCTCATCATTATCCACTTCCCAAGTAGGTTGTTGCCAACCTATCAAGTAGAAGTAGGCGACGTGTTTGCCTCACCCGCGGGAGACACGCGGCAACAGCGTGAAGGCGTGACTGTGAAGCGACAGATCTGGTTCTTCTCTCATCTCAGCTGCCAGGCACTGTGGGTGCAGGCTGCCATACCCCAAATTTTCTATTGTCAATAATTATAGTCCATCATGCCAGAAAAAAATATAGCATTGACTAGATGTGAAGCTAATGACATAAATAATTTTTTTTAAGTTTGGAACATTTTATATAGTAATTCAACCTAATAAGATATATAAGGTTCATACATGAAGAAACGATGCTTTATGTATAGACTCGTGCATCTCGGAATAATACCCTAGCTAAATTTAACATGGTGGCAAACTAATTTTTTGCAAACTCACTTTCAGTTTGACTTTCAGTCATAGGGTAAATATACCATATTCTGACATCATGGGTAATTCCGTACTTTTTAACTTTTTCCTTTATATTAAGCTTTGTCTTAGTTCCACGCAGGCTGGAATTCTAAAATTTGTGGTTCACATTAAAAGAGCGTTCCGCCTTAAAAAAACATTTCAGGCAACTAGAAACAGGTTTGCAGGCCGTCAGAAATTGGCTTCAGTTATGGTAGCTATGATCATATGAACATCAAGTCAGGCAAGTTTCCATGCATGCGTAGATGGTTGAAATAGTGACGTCATACTATTGCGTGCCAGATTTACGCAAAACACTAGGTTAGGCAGAAAAGGTACTGACTAAAACCCGGACCCGGACCGGTCTGCCGGACCCGGACCAAGTGACTAAAACCCGGACCCAGACTGGTCCGGCAGACCAGGTTCAAAAAAGTAAAAAGCTGCAAATCATCTGAAACGCCGAGAAAACTGTTAATTTCACATATAAAATTTTTATATTTTCTTAGAAAAATTTCGTCGCACCAACATATATGGGTCACAGAAAAGTTCATTTCTCGATCGAACTAATCGATAGAGAATCTTCTGAAACATCCAGATAACGTAAAAAGTTGGTATCAAATTTTCGAAAATTTACTTAGAAAAATTTCACTTCAGGTCCGGGGAGCCCCGGACCAAGTGAGTCAAACCCGGACCCGGACCCATATATTCGGGTCACAGAAAAGTTCACTTCTCGATTGAACTAATCGATAGAGAATCTTCTGAAACGTCCAGAAAACATAAAAAGTTGGTATCGAATTTTCGAAAATTTACTTAGAAAAATTTCACTTCAGGTCCGGGGAGCCCCGGACCTGTCTCTTATACACATCTNTGTGCAGGTGGAGAGTGTGGTTCTTGGTACAGTCTGTGATGCTGTGCAGGTGGAGAGTGTGGTTCCTGGTACAGTCTGTGATGCTGTGCAGGTGGAGAGTGTGGTTCCTGGTACAGTCTGTGATGCTGTGCAGGTGGAGAGTATGGTTCCAGGTACAGACTGTGATGCTGTGCAGGTGGAGAGTATGGTTCCAGGTACAGACTGTGATGCTGTGCAGGTGGAGAGCTGTCTCTTATACACATCTAGATGTGTATAAGAGACAGGTATGAAGTTATTAACAAAAAACGCTCCAAACCGTCCCTTTTTACCCCATTTGACGGTATCTCTTCAAGTTTCTGCCAAACAAAACCAAATTTTTTAAACTAATCCCATTTGGTCATTCCTCATTTTCAGTCTTGTCTAAATTGATAAGTTAGTGTAGTTAACTTATAATTCAAAATTTATCTAAAATAAATTGTATCATTTTTCAAGATATAAATCTATTTTCCAATTTAATGCCTGTTAACTTGTTATTTATTTTCATTATATATTATGTATGTGTTATTGAAAAGTAATTCTATCAATAGCTCAATTATATATTTTTTTCAGTTATCCAGTTGATCATAATTTTTTATGGCTATTTAGTTTATTAGAATATAAACCTTAATCATCGACATATTTAGGTTCTTACTGGTTTTGGTATAAAATATAACAAATTTATAGCAATAAACTGAGAGAGAAGATGTACATAAAAGTTCGGCCCATGACCGGGGGTGACGAAGTTGCTCTCACCGTCTCCAAACTCACCAAAATAGAGGAGCTGCGCCTACAGGTGCAAAAACATTTCTCCGTAGCACCTGAGCAACAGCGGCTCTTTTTTCAAGGCAAGCAGGCAAGTTCCAATCATTTCTGTTCAGTTTCAGATCATTTTCTATTACCAGTATTGTTCTTTATACATAAATATATTGATTTATTTTATATGCATGATGTCTATGTGTGTAGAAGGTATAGTATCGTACATGATTTATGTTGGGGCCATCAGAGACATAACTCGTCCTGTATTCAAATTGAATAAAAATCCATAATTATTCATAAAAATTCATTCATGCTCACTCTTGAATGTGATTTCATTCAATTTTATATAAACAAAAAATTCAACATTTCCATGCAAAGTCATTCTGAAAAATTTATCATTTGTTATATCTTAAATTATTTATTAAATTTAATTATTTTCATTTTATTTACTTTGCTTTCTGATGCTTGCTCCTGGTTTACTTTAATTGATTGATTCACAGTGATTGCTTTAACTCTCTTCTTGGAGTGGACTCACATTGACTCCTCTATGTATGTTTCAGCTTGAAGATGGGCACACCATATTTGACTATAATGTCAATATAAATGATGTCATCCAGCTGCTTGTGAGACAATTTCTAACTGAGTCAACCAACAAGAATGGGTGCAAAGACCAGTCTGCTCCTGTTCAGAAAAAGACTGGTAAGAAAAAACAGTCTGCTGCTAATGACCAACAGAGCAAGAGGAAGCCTGAGGAGGCAGCTAAGGGCACTGAGCATCTTGCTTCTGCAAAAACTTCATCAGCTTCAGCTAATTCTGAAGCACCCAATGAACTGCCTGCTACTAATGGTAGTGAGGTAAGTCTGAAATTAACGCAATTTTAAATAACTTTAGTATTAATATCTACATTAAAACATAAGATATTGTCAATGCTTTTTCTAGTGTTAGTTGGAAAATATGTCTTTTTTTAAGATTGATGAATATTGTTAAAATTCGATAGGAACAAAAGTAGGCACCTACTGTCCTCTCTTCATCAAGCCAAATTATCATTTTTTATTTCCACTCACATGGCCTAGATTGGATATATTTAATGCTCATTCATGAAAGGATGAAGTACTAAAGTCCGATAGTACTGTTAATCTTCCCAGTACCTACCGGAGATATGTAGTTATATATACACTAACTCCATAGAAAAAAGCAAGCAGGCAACCGCATAAATTTGGTAGCCACACAGAAAGTATTCATGACACAAGAACACACCTGCGACAAACTTGGCTGTGTTTATACATGGCTGAAGTTTCAAATTATAAGCTCTTAATTATGGTGATTTATTTTAGAGAATAGGCAATCCATGTCAATGACAAGATTTTGAACGAGTTTTTATTTATTTTAAATTTTCTTTATGAAAGTTCACCCATAGTATGAGCATTAAATTTGTGAAGTTTCTATGATTGAATCATTGAAGAATTTGTAAATATTAGGGTTATACCAGCTCTGGCTCTGGCCTAAATATCTGCCTGGCCTAGGAACTGGTGGAGGAGAGCGAATACTACAAAGTCGGAGACCTGGTGGATGCAAGGCATGAAGGTAGCTGGTGGGAGGCTGAGTTACTTAGCATCTCCAGAGCTGCCCCAAACACTTCACCTCCTCCTCCTGGGGAGCTGAGGGACCCTTACTGCTATCTTGTCCGCTTTGAAAGGTGATTGATGTTACTCTTGTTGAACATTGTTGCTAAATAAGAAAAACCATAGTTTTTCTACTAAATTTAGGTAGTTGTGTCATAAGTCTGGGGCCTGCTTTTAGACCTCAATTTCTGACTCATAACTTCAAGTTTTATAAGTCGAAACATAAGTCTGCTTACCTTTACTCTGTTTCTTTATAGGCATGTACATTACCTTGTCATTTTTATAGTTATAAAATATTTCCAACTTGCTTATATTTTCCTTCTTGTATCTCTAACTTTTTCAACAGTTTTATAGATGTTTGTTCAAGTGAGGGCAAAAAATTATATTCTCAAATGGTTGAATTATGAGTATGGAAACTGCATGGTAGAAGTATGATGACAATCTAGTGCTTCAATGCATGTTATTAATTGCATAACAATGATGTTTTCATATAACAACATTATGGTTTACTATTATGAGGTTATGTGGTGCAGATGTATCTAGGTACAACTGCTGTTATCCAGTGCAGCTGATGCTTGAAGTCGGGCTAATCTTGTCCAGCAAAATTTCTGATGATCTACTTTTTGATGCCATGCTTCTAATTATATGCTAAAAGATATAGTACTAATGTTATCTGCCAAAAGAATTTATTCCTTCAATGGAGAATAAGTCATTGAAGCTAAGCTTCTACCTGCAGATACCACTATGAGGAGCCATCAAAAGTTCTTCTGCATGAGCTCAGGCCGCGAGCATTTAAGAAGCTCTCCCTCGATGATGTCAAGCCAGGGATGAAGCTCCTGGTGAACTATAACATTGACGAGCCAGCACAGCGGGGCTACTGGTACCATGCTGAGGTGGGTTGTGAGACAGCACTGTGAAGAGTGTGGTTAATGCTATGTACTGTGATGTGCAGGTGGAGAGTGTGGTTCCTGGTACTGTTTATGCTGGTGGAGAGTGTGGTTCTTGGTACAGTCTGTGATGCTGTGCAGGTGGAGAGTGTGGTTCCTGGTACAGTCTGTGATGCTGTGCAGGTGGAGAGTGTGGTTCCTGGTACAGTCTGTGATGCTGTGCAGGTGGAGAGTGTGGTTCCTGGTAC